GCACACACGCACAGGTGTGCGTGCATGAACACACGTGTGAACACATGCACACACGCACAGGTGTGCATGCATGAACACACGTGTGAACACACGCACAGGTGCACGCATGAACACACATGTGAACACACATGCACAGATGCACACACATGTGAACACATGCACACATGCACAGATGCACACACATGAACACACAGAAGGCACAGTTTGCTGTTAAAACAGAGCAGTGGATTGAGAAAAAAAATTGTCCATCTCATATTTTAGTACAGAAAGTCTGTTTTCTTTTCTTCAAAATATAAGTTTAAAAAGGGTTCCCTCACCTCTAAGCTATTAAAGGTCATTGCCTGGTCTAAAGGGCTTCTTGTCTTCAAAGCAAATAGGAGATCAGCTCCCCATTCATACGTGAGAAAAGAAAGGTGGAAAGAAAAATATAAGAGCTTGACATAGAATAACATTAAGGTTTTTCTTACCAAAATGCCATCACAGCAATTAAAGTTATAACCAAGGTCTGGAAAAGCCAGTTAGGACACAACCGTCTCTTTCCTGAAAAATAAACCTATGAAAAGGTTCAGTAATGAGCAGTGATAAATCAGCGACTCTGACAGCGAGAAGGAAGCCTGAAGACTTGCTCCCAGCAGTGGGCTGCTGCTTCTGGGGGTGGCTGGTCCCCCAGCTTGCTGCTCCTCTCTTTCTCAGCTGCCCCACACCCGCCTGCCCTGGGCCACAGCGCTCTCCCTGCCATCCTGCCAGGCAGTGGCCTACGGCTTCACTTGGCACTTACTCTGCAGTTTCCAGAGAGAAGAAAACCTATGAGACAAGATGTCCCTCTCTTTATAACAGGATACTTAAAAATCAAAAGATCTTCAAGACATGAAGGAATAAATTCTAATGGAAGAATTCAAGGATCATGACAAACCACAAAAAAATTCTTACGGCGTGAAACTCCACTAAACACTCCTTAAGTTACATTAATAACGTCAGTGTCGAGTTCCTCCACATATTTACAAGGATGGCTCTGGACCTGTGTCTTATTTATTCGCATGTTCACTTAACAGGTATTTATGGAGCACTGTCCTGTACAGCACTGTCATGAGCAATGTCAGTACATTCTCTATAGTGGGAGTGAGACAAACTCTTAGGACCAATACATCCTGGCTGAGAACCGGCTTATGGGAACAGGCCAAGAGCTCCAGGACAGACAGCTGCGTAAAAGGCGGGGCGTCTGGCTGAAGAGGTAAGAGGTTTTCTGCCCACTTAAATAAGGGGCCTCTTACATGTGAGTTTCCTACTAAGGCCATAGCCGGTATCACGCCAGCTTCCTTCTGGGGACACAGGGTGGAATCATGCTTGGTGGTGGAAGCATATTAGAATATGATGGTAATTAAGAAGTAGCTTAAGATTAGTCTTTGATTTAATTTCTTGGGCCGACTTTCCGACTAAAAGAAATTGCTCTTCAATGTAGTAGTGGGGGAGTGCTAGGATTAACTATACCTTTTCTAACCAGTACAGAAACCCTTAGGGCTATTGTTAACTGAATCAGCCGGAAGTGCAGCCAGAAACCACTCTGGTTACCAAAAAGCCCATGGCTGTTCCTGCATCTTATTAGAACTGTCCTGAGAAGGTACTGCACCAAGAAGGAACTCAGAAAAACATATTGGATCAATTGGAATAAAACAGGATTAGTCTCAGGACAGGCATTTCCCCTCTAACCTGTGCCCATAGCTGCTGGGACAATCCTTTGACTTAAAATAAGGAAACGGCCTAAGACCTGGAGTCAGACTTAGAGTTATCTAAGTGTCAGTGATCCTCATTTCCCTTATCAATAAGGTAGGAATAATAAAATAATTCCTTCTTATTTTTCAGAGTTACTGGGTAGATCCATGTAACAGCGTCATGGTTCTCTAAATCAGGGGTACGAAAAATTACCATGGAGCTTGTTAGAAGCCTAAGTGCCCTGGGAAGTTGTGATTGACTAGGTTTTATTTGGGAGGGGGGGGCTGGGAATCCGTGAGAGGTAAGAAAATGAAAAGTATGTACACGGGTTTGTTCTTTCCCTCCTTCTCCTCCTCCAAATACTCAGTGAAATCTCACTTAAACCCTGCGGACCTCCCCGCTTCACTCTGACCCCTCCATACAGGAGAAACCGTGCACCTTTGCCTGGAAATGGAGTAAGAGAGGAAGGAAGAGGAAGCCTATGTACTGATGAGGACTAGTGCAGCAGAGCCCGCCCTTCCTCTGGAAAAGCTCCACCTCAACCAGCACGGGGGCCGTGTGGAAGGTGGGGCAGGGCCCAGCCGGCCTCTGACCCTCTGGCAGTGCCATCAAGTGCCCACAGCAAGCACTTTGCTCATAAACACCCCACCCAACTCCAGAGCCCCACTCCCCACCCACACCCTCGTAAACACAGCAATGACCCAGTGACCACAGAGGCCCCGAGGAAAAAGGGGCACCCAAGAGGCTGGTGGTGGCCTGGAAAGGGCTGAGCTCTTCCACCCGGACAGTGCAGAGGGAGCGAACACTTCTGGCGTCGTATAAGCTCCTGGGACTGGTCTGACATAAGGCCAAGTGTAAGAATCATGGAAATGGAGAGTGTGGAAACGTTAATAACAGGAACACGTGTCCAGGTGCTCTACTTGCACTGATTTCTTTAATCCTCACAATGACCCTCAATAGCTTTATGGGGCAAAAGCTTTTCTTATCCCCATTTTACAGATGGGGAAAAGGAGGCACAGGAAGGCTGAGTCTTTCACCCAAGATCACACGGCTGATAATCAGAGAGCCAAGATTTGAACAACAAAAAATAGGCTCCAGAACCTGGGCTCTTAACCACAATGTTAAGTGGCCTCCTTTTTTCTGTCTATAAAGGAAAAAGAAAAGGAAACTAAATAATTTAGAGATTATTGTTATGATTCAAAAGGTCAAGGCTTAGCAAGTGGCCCCCATAGCCTGATGGGCCAGGCAAAGCAGAGCCTCCCTTGTATTTCCAGCCTTGTGGTCCACGTCCTAACTCACTCCCACCTGATCCTTCAGGGAAGCCGTGCTGACTCCCAGAGCTGCGTCCACACCACACTGTCTGCACCTCTCCTGCAGCCCCTGTCGTATCTGGCCAGAGGGACTCTAGCTCTCAGGGTCAGCTCCTAAAACCCCCAGGTGCTCTGAGCCTCTGCAGTACTGACCCACAGCCAGGTACGACTGCTGCATGTCTTTTCTTCTAACCTTTCCTGGCTGCGCTGTAATTCCTTAGCAGAGACCAAATCTGACTCAGCTTTACCTGCTCCCACAGAGTGGGCTGGAGGCTGGGAGTCGAATGGGCCTATATAAGGCCTGTGTTAAGTCCTGCCCTTTTCCACATGCCCAGGGCACTGAATCACTCGATGTTTTTAATTTAAATTGTGAGATGTCAGGGACTATCTGCAGACTGGCCTCTCCACTTGTACATTCATTTGACAAATATTTCTTGGTACTACTGAGAGCCACTCCCTAGCAGCACAGAGTCAAGAAGGCAGACGCAGGGCCTGCTCTGTGGACCGCAAATTCTAGTTAATATTCTGAGATAATGTTCCCTTACTGGCACTTCTCTGTGATGAAGAGAATGTCCTTCAAGTTCACAAATGATTACCCTTCACTTTCGACTGTAAATGTTATCCTACATAATAAAAGCTCTCTTTACTCATCAATCAAACCATCACATTCTAGCCTTTGCAAGTAAGTGAATACCTGTACCTCCATTTGCATATTTAGAAATAAATATCAAAAGGAAAGAAGGATTGGAGGACTGACTGAAGTTCCTTTAGGATTTCTTCTGAAGCCAAAGGTTAGGGACTAGGTGGGGTCAAGGCACACACAGACGTCGCAGCCCACAGTCAAGTGTGTGTGAAGCTCAGGAATCTCGTCTGATGGGGACAATACAAAGGAAACTGGCAGGTAATTCTGAAACAGACATGTCCTGTGCTCCCTCCCCAAACTTCTGCTCTTTAAAAAGCTGGTTAACATCTATCAAAGGGTCAATATCTAAATGCCTGACGGCAGAAGGATGCCACCTGGGGAACCTGTCATCAGACAGAGGAGTAAGAAAAGCTCCATCAATTTCTCTAGAGACTTTTTAAGTAGAAAATGTCATTTCTTTTCTTCATAAGTTTGTCTATTTACCTTGTTGGGTTTTTTGTGAATGGCTCTTCTTGGAGAAGATGTACTAACAGCTCGGCTAAATTTGCTTTAAAAGAGAGAGAAAATTGGTTACTATTCAAATACCTTTACAGGAGTGATAGGACAGAAGCCCAGGCTGTCAGTAACTCAGCAGTGTGACTCTCCTGTGTGACACAGTGATAATTCCAATGAAGCAAAGTCAAGACAACTGAGAAGGGGTGTGTGTGTGTGTGTGTGTGTGTGTGTGTGTGTATAAGCATAAATGAATCGTTAAACCTTAGATTTCTTTTTTTTCAAAACTAGACCCCAGGAAATGTGCATTTACTCCCTTAAGCAATACACAATAATGAAGTTCTAAGTAACAGTGTTCTAAATTTAGAAATTGCCACCCTCCCCACTAAAGGAGAAGTTACCCTTTTGCTAAAGTTTGCACTTCCTATATAACAACTGCCACTAAACAGACGCCTCATGTTTTGTTTTATTCTTAAAGCAGCAACAGAAAATATAAGAAAATCATCCCATAAGACAATTGTGTTCCAAAATATTCTTCATTATCAGAAAAACAAGGACTTCATTATCAGAAAGTAATAACGATCACCATTTGATCAAAATGACCATTTAGATCGATCTCATTTTGGAAAGAGCCCAGTGTCTCCGTTTCCCAAATTCCCGTGAAGATCTGAGATGTACCTGATTGAGCTGGCTTCGCTGGCTGAGGACTTCCAGCTGCTGAGCCGCTTTAGCCTTGCCAGCTTTCTGTTCCACACTTCTAACTCTTCTATTCGTTCTTCAAGGTTGTTAGTTAGTTTGCAGAGCTGCTTCACGGCACCTACATTTTCCATAAAGATCTGGTCCTAAAAAGGAAAGTCATACAGAGTGCGTCCATTTACAGTTTGAGACCACCAGGGAGCCCTCAGCCCCCTCCGAGGTGGTGGAATACACCATTGAAAGTGGCTATCTCTGCACACATCCTCAAGTTCATTCAAGATAAATCTGCAGAGGTTTGCAACGTAAAGAGGGCTTGCTAAACTGATGGCTGTGTAGTAAAATGCTTCTGTTCAATTTGTAATAAAATGGAAATATGTCCTTGTAACCCAAAAAATGGAGCTGAAGGACATTGTTGAGTTTGGAATCCAAAGATTTATTTTCAGTGGCCATTGTGCTATATTTAAAACTCATAAAAAGAGAGTCAGAACAGACTTCCGAATGTTGATTTATGTGTTCAGCACCAGACCCCATCAGAAACGTTTCCAACTTTTGCTGGCAAACTGCACGCCGGATTGCTCAGGTGAAGGAGGAAGGAAAACCTACTTTTTTCCTCTGAATTCTGCCATGTACTAGATGTGAGACCTCAGATGAAACATAATAACCTCTCTGGCTTCAGTTTCTTCATCTACTAATGAGAGGATAATATTTTTTTTTTTTTTTGAGACAGAGTCTCACCATGTCACCCTGGGTAGAGTGCCGTGGCATCACAGCTCACAGCAACCTCCAACTCTTGGGCTTACACGATTCTCCTGCCTCAGCTTCCCAAGTAGCTGGGACTACAGGTGTCCACCATAATGCCTGGCTTTTGTTGTTGTTGTC